TTACTTTGAAACCTACCCTTGTCAAACAAAGTAATGAAATGAATAAATCAGAAGATAAGAGTGAGAATAAAGAAAAAACTTTCAAAAAAGTTGTCAATGTAGAGCCTATAGAAGTAGATGAGATAAAGCTGGAGGAGGCAATAAATGAAAAGTCAATACATGAAATTATGCTAGAAAAATTCGAAGCAATTATTAACGAAATAAACTTGCCATTTTATAAATCATATGATGATGATGTTATCATAATTCTTGAAAATATATTGAATCGTGCCAAGTATTTGAAACTTGATCCTCATGGACCAAAACAAAAAGAAATATCTCGACGGTAATTTAGTAATTTTGTAATGTTTGAATAATTGATTGCAATTTATATTTACATGCGATGAATTCATCAGTGTTCCTCTCGTTGAGCGGTATTTTACTCGTATTCCACTTAATGAAAAAACCCAAAAGCATCCAAAAGGATGTCTGGCTGTTGCAAATAATGGTTGGATCTGGAATGCAAATCCCCTGCAGGATTTTGCAAGTAGTGGATCGTTTTCCTATTTGCGAAGAGAAGTGATCGTATGGGGTGATTGTGTTAAGCTAAGATATGGTAAAAGCAGGGTAACGTGATTCATTAAATTCAATATTACCTGTAAGTATTTCTTTACAACTTTGACATAATATCCTACGTTGGTTATATTTTTTATAGGACGATTCGCCTTGGCTTTGGGATCATATGACAAAATATACTGTACAGCTTGCATCGCTTTTCCATGGGTTCCGTATTGACAATTGTCACTCCACTCCACTCCACGTCGGACAATATCTTCTCGACGCCGCTCGTCGCGTCCGACCAAACCTTTACGTTGTCGCAGAATTATTTACAGGTTCTGAGGAAATGGACGTTAAGTTTGTAAATCATCTGGGCATTAACTCTCTAATCAGGGAGTCCATGCAAGCTTGGGATTCGCACGAGTTAAGTAGATTAGTTCATCGGCATGGTGGAAAACCTGTTGGTAGGTATATGTCTATTGTGTATTAATTTATTATACATCAACATTAGTGCTTATTTTGTTTTACTTGTTATTAAATCAAGGATCTATAGATGCTGAATGTCTCATAGACACATCAACTTATACAAATGTTGATGAATCTTCAGAAATACCTTGTTCTATTGTTCCTTTGACAGGTTCCAGTCCACATGCACTCTTCATGGATTGCACTCACGATAATGAAACACCTCATCAAAAGAGAGTTGCAGAAGACACTTTATCAAATGGTGCTCTTGTTGCCATGAGCTCTTGTGCTATTGGAAGCGTCAAGGGATATGACGAAATTTATCCAACAATTGTTGATTTGGTAAAAGAAACTAGACTATATAAATTATATGAAAAACCTTTTGAAATTGGTATAGGAAGAGGCAAGTGAATTCCAAAATTTTTAAATAATTCTATCACAATTAATTTGTATATGCTTATTTTATCCGTATTTTACAATTTTAGTTAAAAGAGTATTACAGCATTTGCACGTTGAAATGTCGTTGGATGGGTACACAGAAACCCATGTACATCACGAAAATGATGTAAGTTCAATGAAACTAACTTCATTCCAATTTTATTAATTTTTAACTGTTTGATCTATCTGATATTAGTCCATTATAGTTCATCGCGTGAATCCGCACAACCATAATGGGTATTTATTAGTCGCACATTGCGCTTTCTCCAGCCCTATAAAAAGCAGTTGTAATCGTGAGCATTAATAAACAATATCTCTCGTTTGTTATTGAAATATTGTGCCTTCACAATTCATATCCTTACCCTATGTTTATCCTTTAGTATCTCCTATCAAGTTAAGGGGTACAAGAGCCGAAGTACTCTTTTCTACTTGCCTGGAAGTTCAGTCCAAAGAATTTATTAGTGATGAAAAATACCTTACTGGGCTTCCGGCATCACTTAAAGCACTTAACACTCCTATATTACGCGAATCATCTGATGAGCACGGAAAATTTACTGAAGTTACGCTGCCAAAAGAATTTCCTTCTGGAAGTATCACTCTTCTTAAAACGAAAGTGGATAAACATAATTCCCTAGATGAAACGCTTATGTCAAATGTTGATGAAGCTTTTAAAGAGTTAAACCTGGTCGATTTGAATATAGTGTTATATCGATGCAATAGTGAAGAAAACGATATTACACCTGGTTATGGCACATATCATGTGCCTGGCTACGGTGACCTACCATATTGTGGTTTAGAGGGATTTATGTCAGTGTTACGACCAATAATGAAAGAAAATGACTTGGGTCATCCTTTTTTTGCCAACTTACGCGAAGGTCATTGGGCTTTAGATTATGTTGTGGACCGCCTTGTTAGGTAATTATACAATTACCCCTTTTACGAATTATATGTCAAAACTTATTATAATATGACAATATTTCATTATAGATATTTAAAATACGCGCCAAACCTTAAAGGATTATGCGATTGGTATCAAGAAAGATTTGCAATTGTCAAGACAGTACCGGGTTTTTTGGTTCCAAAATTTTTTTCTTTGGTCATAAAGACGGCACATTCAGCAGCAATTAAACAAGTTATGTCACAATTATCACCTTGCGCATACGAGGGAAGTTCATTTATTCAATCACTTGCTTTGTGTTCAGTGCAGATGTATGGAATAGTTTTGTCTACTGGATTGCACCCCACAGAGATTGGCCCATCGATGGCCGCAGGATTGCCACATTTTTCTACAAGCCACATGAGATGTTGGGGACGTGATGTTTTTATTTCATTGCGTGGTCTATTCATTACTACGGGTAATTTTGAAGCTGCTAAAAGGCATATAATTGGATTTGGTAGTGTACTTAAACATGGAATGATTCCAAATTTATTGGATGCTGCACGTCGACCACGTTATAATTGTCGTGATGCTACTTGGTGGTTTTTGCAATCCGTACAAGATTATTGCAAATTCTCCCCAGAAGGTTTAGATTTTCTCAAGACGCCCGTTATACGACGATTCCCTAAAAACGATGAATTTATTGAAGCGGATGATCCTCTGTCCTATAGTTACGAAGTTACTATTCTTGAGATTCTTCAAGAAATTATGGAACGACATGCTTGTGGAATTCATTTCAAAGAATGGAATGCAGGCATTAACCTTGATCATGCTATGACTGAAAAAGGGTTCCAAATTGATATTAATGTTGATTGGGAAACTGGTTTTTTACATGGTGGAAACCAATGGAATTGTGGTACTTGGATGGATAAGATGGGAGAATCGGAGAAAGCTGGAAACAAAGGTCGACCTGCTACACCAAGAGACGGTGCCGCAGTTGAAATTATTGGACTATTAAAATCGGCTTTGCGATGGATAACAGAATTAAATAAAACTGGTCATTATCCATGGAATGGTGTTGAACTTAAAGGTATACAACACATACATTAATGACATGTTAAACCTGCACTTTAAATAGAAATTGTTGCAGACGTAATAACTTTCTAATTAATATAGAATGTCCTACGAAGAAATTTATTACATTTGCCGAATGGGGTGACTTAATCCAACAATCGTTTGAAAAACATTTCTATATTCCTATTGGTGAGACTTATTGCATTACTTAGCTGCACAATTAAACTTTTATAAATTCATTTCTGAATATTTGATCATTCTGGCTTGTTTGATTTAGACCCTAATGAAGATTCAAAATACAAATTGAACACCAAATTAGTTAGTCGTAGAGGTATATATAAAGACTTGTGCAATTCTTCTGGAGAATATGAAGATTATCGCTTGAGACCGAATTTTCCGGTTGCTATGGTTGTGGTACGTCAAATATCTGATATGCTTTTGAGTAAAAATTGTACTTTTGTTCACTTTACATAAATAGGCGCCTGAACTATTTGATGAGCATCATGCACTTCAAGCATTGAATGTTGCACACGAGGTATTAGCTGGACCATTAGGAATGCGTACACTTGATCCACATGATTGGGCATATCGTGGTGTTTATGATAATAGCAACGATGGTACTGATCCATCAATTGCTAAGGGATGGAATTATCATCAGGGTCCTGTAAGTAGTATCATAATATTTGCATATTTAATCTAACGTCTTTTATGATATTCTAATTAAAACTATCATTATTTTTTAGGAATGGCTTTGGTGTACTGGCTATTTCCTTCGTGCCTACTTGTATTTCGATACTCGAGTAGGGTGTGGAAAAGAAAATGTGCGTTTATTACCTTGCTAAACCATTTTTGGTTTAAAACATTATTTTTAATTCCAATTTTTCTTATATGTTATTTAGAAACATGAAACAATTCACAAGATAACACGACATCTACTACGACATCGTGAAGTGATCGAGGAAAATACATGGGCTGGTCTTCCTGAATTAACAAATGCAAATGGAGCACCTTGCCCTCATTCATGTCCTACACAAGCATGGTCAGCAGCTACATTATTAGATTTATTTGACGATATAAAAAAGCTTGAAGTGTGCTAGTCTTTATGTAACTCTCGTTAATGTTAAAACAAAAATAAACAAATAATTTATTGTCAATGTTAATTGAACCATCCAAGTGATACGAATAGCATGCTTTCGTTTCTATATAGGCTATTTTGTAATTAATATTGTTAATAATAAAACTTTCCAAATATGAAAAACATAGAAATACGTCATGATGTATAAAAGGTTGTACCGTATTATGGACGGCCTACGAAATATCAATATTTTTAATAAATAAATTAATAAAAAGTACCTAATTTATAAAATGCTTAGTATTTAAGATCTGGAATTTATCGACATATCAGGTTAGTTTCTTCTAGAATCTTTGATGACGACTTCTAATTTAAATTTTGTGACCAAGTATGAATATTACAATTGTTTACTATTTTTAAATAATGAGTGTATAAGCTTCATAGGCTATATGTTAGAAATCTGCCGTGATTCGAAATATAAATAATTATATATAAACTGATACAAAAAAAAAAAGAAAAGAAAACAGGAAAGAACAGCTAAATCCTCAATTCGAATTCAATAGGGTAATGGTCTGTGATGCGTTTTGCTATATTCTTGACCAAAATTGGATCCACTTTTTCATTTATCCAAGCCTCATCAAATCTCCATACACGAGTGTGTCCAATCCATTCTCGCACATTTGCTTCCTCGAATATAAACCGATCATAAGCGGCATCTCCCGCAGCAACAGTGGTGTCGCTTGAATGTTGAATTCCCCAAATCAGGTTGTTTTTATGTAATATTCCATCAAGTTTTGAAAGCTCTTGTTTGTTGAGATAAGAACCTGATGCATTAAAATCCCCCATTAAAATTATCGGTTCTTTATCTTTTAAAAATACATCATTTAGACAACAACATAAATAACTCCATAAAAGAGTGAATAATCCATCATTGTTTTGCGTATTTTTTTTTCTCAGATTAATATATATATCAGTCACTAACGCTTTTATTTCATTATATGCATTCTCTGGTTGTGTGTGACAACCAACAAGGGTGACTTTCACGTTGGGTTTTCTTAAATGTTGAAATCTAACAACGTAGGGCTCTCTGATAAATTTATCACCCATTTTTTCATCATCAATTACATAGTCCTCTAATACTTTCCATTCATTCTTTCTATACAAGTAAAGATACCTTTCTTGATACGAGCTTCTACCAATAGGACGACTCAACGCAAAAGAATAGGGAGTGGAAGGTGTTGATACAATGTTTGCAAGTTGTTGAATTATTCCTTCTTTACCATTTGGTACATGAATTTCTTGGCAAAAAACAATATCGTATCGTCGAAGGATGTCTATAATAATTCTCATTATGGCAAGATTAGAAAATTTTTTAGCTCCAAAGGCTTGAATATTAATAGCACCAATAATGCAGGTATTTTTGCTAAATCTTTGAGGAACTGATGAAGACGGTAACGGAAATGATGCTAAAAGTGCATCTTGAGCTTCAACAATTGTATTTTTGTCTATTGTAATTTGATATTTTTGCTTTTTCGACATTTTACGCATCATTGGAGCTGGTGGTGTCAAATGTCCTTCACTAATTTTATTTGGTTTTGACAATACTTTAACAACCTTACGAGTGGGGTTTCTAACAACAATTTTGGGGATCACCTTTTTTGATTCATTGCTTCTCGGAGCGCCAACAACGACAACAGTGTTTTGACGTCGGTGTCTCTTTTTACTTGTTGGCTTTTGGACAGTATGTTTTGCAGTATTTCTCCGGCTTGACATATTGGAATGGCTCTCTGAGCTTTGTAGGATTGGAACACGTGATCTATTACTTTTCCCTAAATTACTATTTCGTAATACTTTTTTAGTATGTCTCCCTTTTAATGAACGATATGAAGTTTCAGATGGTGAATCACTGCTCTCACTGTCTGGTGGTATATATCTATTGCCTCTTTTTGGCCTTCTGGTTTTCTGAGATTTAGTTGACATAATTCCCGAATCTTTTTGAAAAAAGCAGTATTGCTACTTAAATCATTTTACTAATTACTAATATAATCGTTAATAACGTCAAAATCACATCAAGTACTATGATGCCTTTTTTTTTATGAATCTACTTTTAACCATTTATGTCAAGCCTTCTAACTAATACCGATACATGTTGAAGGCTGCTTTTACCTTGTGATTAATTAGTGCATCAGACGTTTTTTTAATTATGGTAAAAAGATTAGCCTTTTATCGTAAAACTATAAATTAAACGTTACCATAACCGTAATTTCTTTGATCAGACAATAACAATTAACACGTAAAACATGATGAATCAGGGGATCTTGTGTTATGATTTCAGAAACTGATATGATTTACTTTGATCACCATTTTTATTTTTAATCGTGCCAAATACATTGATCTAAACCTTGAAAATTTTATATTAACTATATATCAATTAAACAAAAACAATTATTTTATCCATGAATTTATCTTACTAAATTTTTTTTATTATGAAAAAAAATTTATTGTTTTTTTAATTAATAAATTGTTACATTCGTAATAACAAATTTGCCAAAGTTAACACAGTCAACTCTATAAGTGCACTTTGTCGTGACAGGATTATTTCAATGCTGACTGAATTAAATGGTTAAACACGGTTAGATGGTTAAACGATTAAAAAAATCTTGGCGGTTTCAATCCTTAAATTATTTGATCTGATTCAAAAATTTTTAGAATAAAATTAGGGCTTGGTCCAAATTACGTCTCCATAAGTACACGTGCATATTTCCATTGACTGTAATTTGTTCAATGGCACAATACTGTAAACAAAAATGACACATTAATTTATCGTTATTACTCTTTACAAAATTTAATGAAATTCGACTTAATGATATTTCGTTCTTTAATGCAGTATATAAGTCATACGTTGGAATGTAATTATTGTAGGTTTAGAATCTACTTAAGTTGAAACGGAATTCTAAATAATTATAAATGTAATCAAAGTTGATACAAAATTTAAAAGAAACTTTATTCTAAATTTGATACTGTAATAATCGTTAGATTTAAATAGCAACATAGTTTAGGCGGAATTGGACTTAAACAAAACTTCAGCCATTATGCACCCTACATATAATTTAGACCTAATTCCGCAAATCCGTCGATATGAATCGATTGATACGTAGTTAAATTACATCCTATTGTTACGTATAATAAAAAATGTCAAAATCTTTAAATGCAAACTTTTTTTCGCAAATAGAAAACCTGGGACAGGTTATTCAAATGTCCGAATTCAAACCCACTATAATATTATTATATGGTATAAATTTATAAGTTTCGAATGTAGACAATAAAAATTATTTTCTTTATTTGTTCTAAAATTTGACGGTTATTCTTTTTATGTACTTGCTTTATCTTTGCCAACTTAATACAAAAGTTGCTTGAAGTAGAATTTGTGATCCATTACAAAATCGTAAAGTAGTTGTATTTAGTTCTTTTCAGGTTACTGTTATACGAATGTTATTTTTTTATTTTTCGTCAATTATAAATATTTGTATTTTGATGAAGATTGTGAATTTCCTATTAATATATTGCAAGGAGAGATTGAGAACATCTCTACCCAGATATTATTAAATTATTATTTATTTTGGGTAATTATATAATGAGGTTTTTTTTTTTTAAAAAAAAAAAAAAAGCAAGGTCTTGCCTTAGTTTTTTTTATTAAAATTTATATATAGGTATATTACGTGATATAATATAGTATATATATATTTTATCTATGAAAAACTAAAAGCTAGGTTATTTTACCCTCAACCCAAACTTTGCCAAAAGAGGTCAAAGGTTTCACTTAGTTCTGAATTGCTGCAAAAAAAAAAGTCACTTGCACAAATCATTTTGTGTAACTTTTTTACAAATTTTGCTTGCGCACTTGATGGATTTTTAAAAAAATTTTAAAATATTCTTGCACATGTGCATTTTGTGCAAACTAATTTAAACGTTGCTATAGTGTTAGAGGATGCATTGTAATTTTTGAAGTTTTCTGTCTAAATGTTGATTTTTTTTCAATCTGTGAATTTTTGTGATTAATAGGTATGTAAATGTGGGTACTAGTATTGATTGAAAATGTTTTAGAATATTGGTTTGTTCCACTAATACCAGAAGAGTTTGTAAGTTGTTGGTTTGTTATGTTATGGTTTCAAGATACTGTTTTATATTAGATAATCTATATTTGCTTGTATATTGCTTTGCTGATTTTGTGTAATATTGTTTTTGCAACTGTATAGTTTTTTGTCTGTTTATTATCTTGTTTAGTGCCTTGTTTGATGCAAAATAATAATATTTTTGGCAATTACATTCTCTTGTGTGCTGTCAACATTAGTAATTTAATAAGAGTTTTTTGGTTTTGAGATATAATTAGTTGATAATTAATAAAAATTGTTGTAATTATGTCTTTAGTAATAAGTTTAATTTTATTAATACTGGTATAGTATTGTAATCTGTAATTATTTTTTTTAAAATATTTTTTTTTATTATTAATAAGTGGTCAATCATTCAGCCAAACTGGCAATTTTTTATTAATTAGTAATATTCTAAGTACATATATAGTTCATGAGAGTACAGCTAGTTATGCATACAACTTTAGTCATTATCTATTTAAGAATTCTGCTTTAAGGTTACCCACTATCTGCTATACCTGGCCTTCATTTATGAATGTTCTATTTAAACTCTCTGACTCACCTAATTAGTACTCATATATCTTTAATTATTTCATTCTAAAGTCAATTAATCTTGTTGCTACTTCTTATTAAGAATCATTCAAGTTTAATATCATTCTTTTTTGTACTGTTACCTAGGCCATAGCAATGCCTGTTATTTGACAGTAAGGTGCAAAAGATTCTTCTATTAAGTTATCTATTTACTTTACAAATCTTAACAGGACTATGCTCTTGCAAAGTTCACCTATATTTTAGTATCTACTTCATAACATATCTCTAGTACTTTAGTATATTTTTGGTTTGTCCTTAGACTCACAATCTAGATAGCTCAAAAAAACTGTAACCTGTTCTTAGTATATCAAATTTGGCCTAATATTTTTTTCTTTTGATTTAACTTAGCAGTCTGGTTAGTAATACTTTTTATTTAGAGATTATTACATATTTAATTTATTTATATTGATATTTATTTTCTCAGTTTAACCTTTATAGTAATACTGTCAAAGATTTGTTTACTTCTTTACTTGGGTCTTTTTAAGTAGGTTTTAGTTTTTTTTAGTTTTACAAATTTATATAATTATAAGAACTTATTTTAGGTTTGTATTACTTAGTACTAGTTTGCATCTCTCTGTATAACTAAGGTTATATAGATACTTTATAATCTGCTAGTTATTCTAGTACAACTATAGTTATAAATATCTTAACTGATTAACAAAATGCTATTATCATAAGATTAATTAAATATTATATAGGTGATTATTTAAATTTTTATTATTAATAAGTTTTAAACTTACAACTTACTACTTGAAGGTTGACAACCTATTTATTTTACTAAGTTACTATGCTTCAAAATATTTCTTGAAGTTGTAATTATAAAGCATAGTTTGAATAAGTAATTTATTAAAAAAGAATTTAATTTTAAAAACTTTTAGTTGAAGTTAGAGATGTACATATATTTAGCAATAAGTTTTTTATTAAAATTTAAAAAGTTATAAAATATTTTTTAATTAATTCTAAGTAGATTGTATTTTATGTATTTATTTAATTTTAAAAGTGTTATATATTAATGTAATAGATGTTATTAATATGTTAAATAAATTTTTTATGTACTTAATGCATACATTTTGCCAATAAATAATAAATTTATCTTATTTTATTATATATAGTATATTTTATATTGAAGCAGTCTATAATAAATAGAATTATTAAAATTTTTTGTTTTATAATTGTTTTAAGTATTAGTTAACTAGACCAAAAGGAAGTTTTATAAGTTGGAATATTATATCAAAATGTAATATCTAAGATTAATTTTGTCTTTTAAATAAATTGTTTTTTATTAATATATATATTTATATTTATATTTTTATAAGTATTAAGTAAAATATATATTAGAGTCTTTGTTTTTTTTTTATATTAAACTAGTTTCTTTAGGACTAAAGTATTTTATTTAGTATTTTAGAATATAGAAATTTATAGTTAAAATCTTAATGAAGCCATCTTTATATAAGAGAGTACAACTAGCTATATATATATTTTTAGTATCTAATTTAAATAGTTTGCCTATAGTTCTATACTAGCTATTATATTGATAATCCAACTAAGAGTATTGCTTATTTAAATTTTTTGTATTATAATCTTTATAATGTTACTAGAATATTTCTAATACAAATATTAGTTAAGAAGTTCTAAATACTTATTTGTATTTTTAGAACATTATATTTTATTTTATATAATACATCTATAAAAGCATTATTACTAAAGATTTCTATATTTCACATATAGCTAATCTAGTTTATGCAATATGCTATAGTAAGACTAATATTTGCAGTTTTTTTTAAATATTAAGGTGAGTACTTGTGACCCAGGATTTTATTGATAGTACATTTAGCTAATGGTTGCATTACA